AAAGAACGGCTAGTTTAAGCTTCAGGATCATTGAGGTATAGAAGAGCAACGCTTCTGGTGTGGGTATTCCATAATTCCTTTCGAACAATATTTTGATCATAACAATCAAAAAGCCTAGTAGGTATCTTTGTTTCTTCCCGGACAGTGACCCCTGGGAAGGTGATACCATCTCGGGCTTCGCTGAGAAGGCAAAAAGAGAGTCCTGTGCATGCATAAAAAAATGATGAACAATCGGATATATTAATAGCACTTTTCTATCCCTTTTTTATATTTCCTAGCAAGTCTTTGTTGGCCGTTTCACAAAGGCCATTGTTTTCCTTTTTCTTTGTATTTTTTGGAGGCGTTAAAAGGGAACCGCAAACACAGCCTTGGCAAAAGGTTAATTTTCAGGAAGTCAAGCTTTAAGGGATAAACACACTGTCAGTTAAGAAGCTATTTTCGTTTCGCCTGTCTACCGCAAGTAATTTCAAGGGGGAATTCTAGTTTCTTTTTCTTTAACATTAGGGGATCTTTTTGGATTCCTTGACCTTAGAGAGAGAGAGAGAGAGAGAAAGTGGAGGTGACTGTCTACAAAAGGCATAAATAGCAACAAGCGTGCCCAAATCTGAGGGCAAGGATAGGCATTTGAAGTAGAAGCACCTTTCTTGCCATATTTTTATTCACTTTCATATTGTCACTTTCCTGACAGATAGCTCCACGATTGAAATTATAAATTTATCAATACAGGTACTAATAGTCCCTAAAAACGAGAGGGGAGAGTCGCAGGTGTTAGTGAAAACCTTTTTCATTGTTTAACGAGAGAACTATGGCGAGCCGTTATGAGAAGCAGGAAAAGATCGGTGAGGGCACCTACGGAGTAGTGTACAAGGCTCGCGACACTGTCACCAACGCCATCGTCGCACTCAAACGCATCCGGCTAGATACCGAAGAGGAAGGCGTCCCCTGTTCGGCCATTCGCGAGATATCGCTATTAAAAGAGCTCCGTCACGACAATATTGTCAAGCTGCTTGACGTATGCCATAGCGAGCGCCGGCTGACGTTAGTGTTCGAGCACCAAGACATGGACCTGAAGAAGTATCTGGATCATAACGGTGGGAATCTGGACGCTGCCACGGTGCAGCACTTTATGCAGGACCTCCTTAAAGGTGTACGGTTTTGCCACCAGAGGAGCGTCCTGCATCGGGACTTGAAGCCGCAAAATCTACTCATTTCGCGTGAGAAGGAGCTCAAGTTGGGCGACTTCGGCCTTGGGCGTGCGTTTGGGATCCCCGTGAAGAAGTTCACCCATGAAGTGGTGACGCTGTGGTACCGCTCGCCGGATGTGCTGCTTGGCTCGACGCAGTACGGGACACCCGTGGATATCTGGTCTGTAGGCTGCATCCTCGCAGAGATGGCAACGGGTACACCACTTTTCGCCGGCCGTAACGACGCCGATCAGCTGTTGCTGATTTTCAAGTTTTTGGGTACCCCGAACAGCAAGACTTGGCCATCGCTTAACCAGTATCCTAACTCCACCAATATGCTGTCGAAGCCCGAGTTTCTTCAGAATATGGTGGCTGAGTGCGATACGGTGCTTCGGACCTCACTGGGTTACGAGAAGCTCGGTCCGGAGGGAATTGATTTACTGAAAGGATTGCTACGATATGAGCCGTCGGAGCGGTTAACGGCTGAAGAGGCTCTCAACCACCCATACTTTCGTGTTGAATTCTAAATGAAGCATGGATTGCATGTACTTTGACGTGTCAATAATTAGAAAACTAAATCGAATAATCTTTGAGACTTTAGGTCATGTCAACACATCCCCTTTTCTCCACTTTGATTATTTCCTTACTTAATATCATGATCTAATTTTTCACATGTGTTTCTCTCTCCTGCATGCAAATAGCTATGCGCAAGTATTGTGCATCTCAAGCGGAGGAAAGCAATGCAAAGGGGCTTCTTGTGTCTTATAATTCTGATGACGATCAAGGATGGCGGTTGCAATTGAGGTGGCGAAACCAGGTAACCTGAGAAAGAGGGTTCCTATATTTCCTTATTTCAGCGGTGTGTATGTGTTGAAGGGCAACATCTTGGGGTATATAAAGCATATATCAGTGCATATCAGCGATAATGTGGAATAATTAGACCATAAACTGTAGTTTCTCTTTATATTGTTCGCTTCGCTTTGTGCATGTTGCGCTCCTTACTACCTGTTTCGTCTGATTGGCGAAATGAATTTAGGCGTTTTATCTGATGAATACATCGCGATGGAATAAGTCGGCTATATTTTATTCTTCGCTGTGAGCTTGTATGGGGTCAGATTATGCAATTAGCCATTTGTTGATGTATTATGTTTTACCATACCGTTATCTTTAAGGGACTGAGTGTTGTATTTTTTTTTCACCAAGAATATAGTCTTTACTTCACCCTTTATTTTGCCGTATTAAATTTTGTTTTTGTCTTCACTTCTGATTCCGTGAAAGCATATCGATTTTTTCGCAATATTAGGTAACATATAGAAGGAGCAAACTTAACGTCATTACAAACTTGAAGTACTTGTTTGAAATCGATCAATAACCTAAAGGAAAACAACAACAGCAATCACTATGGCGACGAAGACAGTCAAGCGAGGTAACGAAAGTAAGAAGGATAACAACACACAGACAGATGTCCGCCTGAGCAACATCACCTCCGCGCGTGCTGTAGCCGACTGCATCCGCACCTCCCTCGGTCCACGCGGGATGGATAAAATGATCATTCAACCCAAGGGCGAGACCGTGATCAGTAACGATGGAGCCACCATTCTTTCGAAGCTGCAGGTCACTCACCCTTGTGCAAAGATGATAGTCGATCTTTCCAAGGCGCAGGATATCGAAGCAGGAGATGGCACAACATCGGTCGTGGTGATCTGCGGTGCTCTTCTCCACGCGGTTGAGAAGCTCCTCCATCAGGGCATCCACCCCACCCAGATTTCCGAATCCTTCAAGGAATGCGGACGGATGGCGGAGCAGGTCCTGGAGGAGATCAGCACCAAGATCGACATTGAGGATCGCAGCACCCTTATTCAGGCCGCCATCACCTCCCTCAACTCCAAGGTAATTTCCCAGAATAGTGGCCTGCTGGCGCCGATGGCTGTGGACGCCGTACATAAGATCATCCGCCCGAATGGGGATGTCGATCTACGCGATATCCGCGTCACGTCCGCGCTCGGTGGTACCATAGACGACACAATCCTCATTGAAGACGGGATGGTCATCAAGCAAAAGGCTTCCCGTGTTGCGGGGGGTCCGGTGCGCATCCAGAACGCTACTATCGCGCTTATTCAGTTCCAGCTTTCGCCCCCGAAGACGGACATGGAGAGCACGGTCACGATCACCGACTACACGCAGATGGACCGTGCCCTGAAGGAGGAGCGGAAGTACCTGCTCACGCTCTGCAAGAAGATCAAAGACGCTGGTGTTAACGTCCTGCTCGTGCAGAAGTCCATCCTGCGCGACGCCGTCACGGCGCAATCGTTAGACTTCCTCGCCAAGATGAAGATTATGGTGGTGACGGATATCGAGCGAAACGACATTGACTACATCACGAAGACCCTCGGCTGCCTGCCCGTCGTGAGCGTCGACAACCTGACCCCGGACAAGTTCGCCCACGCGACGTTGGTCGAGGAGGAGGGAACACCCAACGGCAAGGTGATTAGAATCACTGGGGTGCAGCCGCCGCCATCGACCTGCAAGCACTTTGGCAAGACGGTTTGCTTCTTCCTGCGCGGCAGCAACGCGCTGATGCTTGAGGAGGCTGAGCGTGCCCTACATGACTCCCTCTGCGTCATACGGTCCCTTGTGAAGAAGCGCGCGATTATGCCCGGGGGTGGGGCAGGCGAGATTGAGATCTGCCTGAGGCTTGGGAAGTATGCGCGGGAGCGGGCTGAGGGTATTCAAACCTTTTGCATGCGCGCCTACGCGGACGCGTTTGAGATGATCCCGTATACGCTGGCCGAGAATGCTGGTATGCAGCCCATCTACATCGTAACAGAGCTGCGCAACGCGCATGCCTCGGGTCACCACAACGCTGGGGTCAACGTGCGTGACGGCTGCGTGACCGATATGCTGGCCGAAAACGTTGTTCAGCCCTTGTTGGTCTCTACGTCAGCGGTCCGTTTGGCAACTGAATGCGTTATGATGTTACTCAAGATTGATGATATCATCATGACCCGTATGTAGGACAGAGGTGGTAGTGGTGGTAAGTCACATAGGTGGATGCGCAGCCTGGAAAGGTTTATTATTATTTCTATAAAAAATAATTGTGCACGCGTATTTGCCTTTATCTAACATAAATGGATAAATATGCGTGTTTCTTGTTAAGTTTCAATCAGGCAAAGAGAAAAGGTGAAAAGGGATAACAGAGTGAGAAGAATAGCCGGCTTTCAACAGGTATATCACGGTGTAACTTCCACAAGCAGTTGACTTAACTAAATGAGAACAAGTCTCGGGAAAAGTCTAATGGATTTGGTGGTAATTGGTCCCTTTCTGTGGCGCGTCGAATAGTCAGAGCGCCCGTGCAACCCTTTCTTATGTGTGCGTGTTCGCTTCACTTATATGAGTTCAACCCATCATTCAGTTTTCTTTCTTTATCAGCTTTTCCTAGGTTACAGTTTCTCGAACACAATTATTTTCAATTAGCTAGGTTTTTATCAAAAAATCAGTCGATATGAGTGTGGCTCGATGAGCGTGCTGTGGGGCATTGGCTGGGTCCGTTCCAACTCGCGGAGGGGGGGGCTCCCTCTCAGTATTCCTACCTATAATGGCGATATTGCTGCTTCATGCTCCAAACATCGAGCGCGGATGGTCTAGGTGGTTATGACGTCGCTTTAACACGGCGAAGGTCTCGGGTTCGAGTCCCGATCTGCGTACTTTTTCGCAACTCTAAGATCCCATTAAAAATCCAACATATGACGTCGAAAAGCGCGTGACATATCCGGTGTGGTATAGTGGCTAGAACAAGCGGCTCTCACCCGCTAGACCCGGGTTCGATCCCCGGCACCGGAATTTTTTCACAATAATTTTTTACAAAAAAAAAATGTGCGGCGCTCCTGGCGCCTTGGGGTCCTTCTGGGGGGAGGGTGAGATGAAGGGGGGGGGGCGAGAAGGGGGGCACTTTAACCCAGCTGGGGGCGCAGGGCCCCGGTGAACGCGGGGCCGGCATTTGATCTTAGTGGATGCCACCTGGGCACTTTTTCATGTTGACATGATTGTAATCCTTTTTTTTATCTATTCGTCTTTATCATCATCCTCATCGGTCCCGGAGAGAGAAGATCTCGAGAAGGAAGAATTGACGCTGCTGCCAGTGAAGCTTTTTTGCCCACTGCTGCTGTCATCGTCTTCGTTCTCGTTCTCATCCTCGCCGCTTTCGTTTTCCTCGTCGTCGGGTGGGAGCTGCACATGCCCGCCGCTCAACGTGCGTAGAAGGGGAATAACTTCGTCCTTCATAAAGAGGTTGAGCTTGTCGGTAAAGAGGTTCGTGATATGGAGAAATGAGGACTCACTCAGCCAGCCGTGTCGGCTCGGACGCATCTCTAGGGGCATATTTTCCCTACTCCCGCAATGTAGCGCGACCTCCCGAATAGCTGTGTCATCCATGACATCGATAAGCTGAAACGGCGCCCATAGCACACCACTGGCCACAATACGACACATTTGCTCCACCAATGTTGATTTGACGACTTCCGGCTCTTGCTTCTTGTACTCAGCAATGCTGTCGTGATGTGTATCCAACAGCTGCTTGATGACCTGCTCGATGTGAAGTGAGCGAGACAGGTCCCGCAGCTGCATCCCTATTTCCGAGCGACGAAGAAAGCGAAGCGCGAAACGCTGATAAATAACACTACTCGCAGAGGCATAGGGGTTGTACCCCAGCCGCACCCGCAGGCGGTTGAAGGGACCCGTGGTGATGCTGTACGTTAGTGCAAGGATCACCTGCTTGTTAAAGTACACACGCGGACACCGGCCAGTCTCTAGGACGGTTGCCATCAAATCCTTGATCATCCATGCGGGGCGGTGCTGGAGCAGGGACGCAACTACCCGCACTTCGGCAGGGTCCTCTGCGGACAGCCCTGTCGGCGAGCAGGCGATTTCCGCAAGGTACTGCCTCTGCGCGGCAGACTGCTCCGGCGGTAGGTTCGGGTCATCAGGCTGCACAACCACGTTGAGCGCCATAGCGAGGCTCCTCGACGCGTCTTCGAGGATAGATTCATCCACGACGCCTGCGCCGTGTTGTTGCGTTTCGCTCGACGTTGGCATGACCGTACGATTAACATATCTCCCCATTAGATACGGCACTTCTACACGACCCTTGACCCCAAGGTAGCGCGATGGTGGGAAAATATCGCCGCTGCACTGCATGGGCTCCTGTTTCTGTTGTTCTGGCGTAAAAAGGGAAAAGGTAAAGTCCGCAGGGCGCGGCAGGGTCACTTCCCGTGAAACCACGCCCACCACCTCAGCACGAACACGACGCTTCTCACGATCTTGTGGCGTCATCTCCCCACCGTCCTCCGCGTCGCCGTCTCGACTATCTAACCACGGCAACTCCTCTTCGCGTGCAATTTCTCCAGTCGTGGTGTTCCGATACCGACGAACACGCTTCTGTCGTGTGAGGCGCACGAGTAAATCGTTGCGATAGTATCCATGTAGCAACAGCTGCGGCTCGAGTGAGGGGAAAACATCCAGACGCCGAAAGCGCGCATAGGGGGTGTCACTATGACCACTCTTAATGTCTGCCGCATGGCCGAGGCCTGGTGTGTCGGTGTCGTTTCCCCAGTTAGTGCTCAACCAGCCGCTAAAAATAGGCTCGCTTTTGTACTCGTTCGGATCCCCAATCTTCAGGTTTATGCTTTGCTCGGACTCATCCTTGTAGTTATCTACTTCTTCCGCACATTCCCCTCCAAGGCATTCTGTGTCAGCTTGCGGAAGAGTTGTGTTTCTTTGGCTGGCCGCCAATTCGACTTTCTGGTTGTTGTGCTTTTTACTGTTGCTTTTGCTGACGTGTGGAGGCTTAGATGTTTGCAGCGTGCAATCTAGACATGACCCTAGAAACGAAGGAGAAATGAACTTTTCCACTTCACCCTGACTCTCTGCGATCGCGCCCAAGGAGGTGCAGCGTGGGATGCAAAAAGGAAGCTCAACGGAAATGAATGAACGATACGTTGGCTCCGAGGTTATTTCTGACGGCCCTGTTGTGCTTGCCATCATAAAAGGCGTGGGATAACAGAAAGAGTGCCGTGCTAGAAAGGGTTTCAGAGAAGAAAAACCTTGATAGAATATCCTTGTGTGTTGTTACAGCTCTATGATCTATTTGCTACTACTTTTTTTTCCAAACAAAGAATTGCACGGCATATGAGAATTGGAGGGCTTTCGAGACACGAGAAAGACGTTCATTACATTGAAAACATGAATAAAAAAATGTGGAGGCAGCCTTGCCCCGAAGAGCGAATGCATGTGTGTGTGTGTGTGTGTGTTTGTCTAGGTTATGCTACCCCCGAAAGGGGGATTTATGCCTTCCTTACTTTCCATATACATCCAAAAATTTGTCTTCAAAACAATCTAATCTAAGCAGATAATATACACTGCATTTTTGTACATTTCACCACCACATGGACCATCACATGAAAAGCATACAACTCAAAAGAACTCAAACTGAGGAAATCTACTTTTCCTCTCCTGTGTTTTTTAAAATTTTTTATCGTTGTAAAAAAAATGAAGAACACTATTCACAAGTGGATGGATCGACGTCAAAGTCTCGCATTTTGAACCCCACTGATGGTGGAGTTTTAAGGCGCCTCTACAGTTCTCCCCCTCACAGGTGGGTCCGGCGGTGGAGGCGCGTCGTCGGGACAAATGCTCCGCACTCCCGTTCCTTTAGCTCGGAATCGCCGTCGATGAGCCCTAAAGGCTCGCTGAATCATCTCAGCGGCCTCTTCATAGGAGCGCCTTGACTTCTCCAAGTCGCGCTGCGCGCGAAGGTCTCGCACACGACGACGCGCCAAGGTACTTCTCCAGGCCGACTGGATCGTCGTCGCGGCCATGTCCAGGGCGTCCTCCAGGAGGATCTGCTCACGACGCTCATCCCAGAGGCGCTCGTGCTGATGCTCCCAGGCACGCCGGACAAGCCATGCCCGGATGTGGCTCTGGAGGAGTCTCGCCGCGGCCTCGCGTCGGGAGGCCTCCCTGGCGAGGACCCGCCGGTGGTGCACCCGCCAGAGGCGCTGGATCATGGTCGCCGCGCCGTGCAGCACCTGCCGGGTCCGACTCCCCTTTGCCCGGCAGTGGGCGCGGTAGGCCCGCTGAATGGTGGTGGCAGCCTCGTGGAGGTGCAAGGGTTCCCACGCGAAGGTCCCGGGCGCGCCGCCCCCGCGCAGCGGACACACCGCCCGTTGAGAGAACAACCCCCGCACCACCGCACTTGGGTCGGACGCCGAGCCCGACCACTCCTCGTCGCTTCCTTCCTCGTCGCGGTGTTGCTCCGGGACAGCATCGGGTGCGGTGGGCATCGGTTGTGGTTGTCCCTCCGCAGAGGCCTGTGCCAAGAGGCGACGCCTTACTTCTCGTTCCGACAAGACACCACGAAGTACTCTCTGGATGCTAAGCACGGCATTAAGTACGTCGGCAACGGCTCCAGGGCAGGGGGCTCGATTTGAAGAGGAGCCGTAGTGCTGAGGGGTGTCGTCGCTCTGCGGCTCTGACACCGCAGAGGACGTTTCGCTTTCGTCGCGAGTACAGAGATCTGGATCTTGTAGTTCCTTTTCAATATTTTCCTCCGTGAAATCAGTATCCAACGGAAGGGTTGGAAGCCACAGTGGGGGCGGCAGGTGGCGAGGGGAGACAGCTGGGGCCTCGTCTTCCTGCATACTCGGATATCCAGCGACGCGATCCGCTAATACGCACCGCCACCAGCGTTGGATTTTTACCACTTTATCCAAACGCATCGCTTGTTTTGCCCGTAGGACAGCCGCGCGTTCGGCGGCCATCATCTTGCGCCAGAAGCACTGAATCCGAATGGCGGACTCATTCAGCCGCTGGCGCCGCCGACTCCGTAATCTTATCTCTCGTCTCAGAGAGAGACGGAAGCGGCGGCGCCGCCATGCACGCTGGAGGCGCGTCGCGGCGTCAGCCTGGCGCTGCTTCTCCGCGTAGACTCCTTTCATCACTCGCCGCGTTACGTGGCCACGCCACATAGCCTGGATCGTGGTAGCGGCCTCGTGTAAACGCATGCGAAGGATCTTTTTGCGATGCTGGTCGCGGTAGTAGGTTACCATATCCTCCATAGTACGACACTTGCGCATCCCACGGTATGCCTGCTGAATGATCCTGGCTGCATGTTGCTGTCGCTGGAATTCCTTCTCGTTGCGCAGCTTCAAAAGCTGTTTCCTGGAAACGTTAATACGGTAGATGCGGGCAATAAGGGAGACTGCACGAACCTCCCGCCGCCGCTGTTCAACTTTCATATTCGCCAATGCATACCGCCACGCGCGCTGCAGGATGCGTGCTGCTGCTGTCTGTATAGCGAGTTCTGTCTCTTTGCGCAAAAGAGCAGCGTGAAGTTCTTTTTCACGCGCCATTTTTTTCCTAGCGATGTACCCTTCGGCCACACGTTGCCAGGTCCTGGCGATGTGTTCATGCTTAAAATAGGTTCTTCGCATGCTCGCCACCAGCCACTCACTCAGCCGTGCCTTGCAACAGCTCTGAAGGACGATGATAGACTCCGCGCGCAGCCGCTCCAGGCGCTGTTTGCGTAGCAATTCCGCATGGTACTCCGCAAACTCACGTGCTTTTCTTTCCTCCCAGCAAGCTCGAAGCCATGCTTGTATTTTGCGCGCGGCACGTTCCTGACGGTGGGCGTCACGAATGGCGATATACTCTCTGCGGATGAGACACATGCGGTACCACCGTTGAATAACTGTCGCCCGACGGTCCAGGCGGTTCTTTTCGGCCTGCAGTCGCTCAAACTTAGTGATGGCGACCCGACGGCGCCAGAGGCACTGGATGCGCGTCGCCTCGTTATTCAACCGACGTTGATGCGCCTCATACATGAGCTGCAAACATCGAGAACGACAGTGCCGACCAGCAAGGAGCGCACGACATGCGGCTTGGATGATCGTCAGCCGACGCTGACTGATCGCAGATCGCTGGAACTGATCTCGGCAATAAGCACGGTAGTAGTGAAACCATGCGCGTGTCAGCACACCACGAAAAAGGGCCTGGATACGGACCGTCGCGTTTTGGCGATGTTGAAGCAGCGCACGCGCCTCCTCCTCATCCTTTTGCGCGCGATAATGAGAAAAGGCACGCCAAATGCAGCGGACGGCAGTTTTGCGCCGGAACTGCCGAATTTCGTCCTCCCGTCGGTTGGCCTCCGCGATAGCGGCACGCATGGCCTCGCGTCGTCGGAGGTAGTCTCGGTAGCCTCGTTGAATCACCCGTGCCGCCATAAAATGGCGCCGCCGCTCGGCAAGAATGGTTCGCCGGATCCCGAGTCGACGCAGGAAAATTCGGGCGCGCGCCTGAATGACTATGCAGGCGATCGTCTCACGCTTTTCGCGCTCCGCCCGCAGTACTGCTTGTTCCTCAGCCAGGATTCGGTACCGCTCGCGCTGCTTGACCAAAAATATCCGTACCACCTTCTGGAGGGTTACGACGGCCTTCACGACCGTTCTCAACCATACACGAGCCATTACTCCACGCCACACGCGTTGGATTTGCACAGCTGCCATAGAGAAACGTTGCAGCTCTTCCATTTTCGTTTTGTTTACCATTTCTTCGTAAAGACCTTCCGACAGTTTAGTGTCGTGCTCATTCTGCTCTCGAATCTGGCGCCTATGGACATCCCTGCGTATCTTTTCCTGTAAACGCTTCGCACGCGCCGCCTGCGCTCGCTCCATGTCACGTTTCGTGGCGAATGAGGTTCCCCGAGCGACGCCTTGCGAGAGGGAGATTTCACTCACCAAGCTCATAGAGGCAGAGGGCTTTTGGCTTTTCGCCTGCTGAATGCTCGCGAAGATGCGTCGGCCTAAAGGATCTCGCCTGTACGCGTTGCTGTTAGGAACGGTCGGCAAAGCTTCGGTGGCGGTGCTTGCTGGTAAGGGTGTGAGACGATTAACTCCAAGAGAACTCACGGCGTTGCTAGTCCTCCGCGGTGGAGTGCTTTTTGCGAAGAGGGTGGGCAGCGCGGGCACCGATGAGAGCGACAGCTGCGTCGTTGACCAAGGGATGATGGCTGCCTTGCCTGAGCTGAGAGGAGGGGGTGGGGTGTTGTGCAGAGGAGCGAGCACCGGTGGCGGGGCCGGAAAGATCCGTGGGATAGATCGCTGCAGAAGATCATTTTTGACCGCCGAGTGAACAATCGGGTCAGGGAGGGGATCCCGACTGCGTATCGAAGCTGCCTTTTCGTCATGCAGGGATGGAAGCGAAGATTGTGAATGATGTACGGAAGCTTGAGAGGTCGACTGTAGCAGCGACAACTTCAGGTGCGGAACAGCAGCGGATGCGCGCCGGGGAGGGGTTCTCATTACACTATCCTGCTTCGGGGTTGCTGGTCTCTTGTGCTCTTTCGGCGCAGCAGGAGCGCCACTATTCGCGGCGTCAAAAGGCGCTGGGAGTGTCTTGGGTGCGTTGGTAGTGTTCCTAGTACGCTCATCTAAATCTTCCTTGGTGGAATTCATGCTCATGGCTGCCGTTTTCGTTCCGCGTTGTGAGCTGGGCTGGGTGGCGATTTTTGAGAATGAGTTGGTGCCATTTTTTAGTGCTTTTAGGGCGGCTTCGACAGTCTGGTAGTCCTGGTTGAGCAGTCCGTAGCGTTTGCACAGTTCATAGGCCTCCGCGTCAGCAAGCTTAGCAGACTCGGCGTCGCCAGCTTCGCCGCGACGGCGTAGTGACACGCCTAGATTATGAAGCCCGGTAATCATCAGTACCGCTGCGATTCGCATCTCCGCAACCACGCCCGCATCGGGTGGCGGTGGTGGTAGATCCCCGCTGGCGACCTTGTTGTGGGGTACATCAAGGAGCCTCAATGGGCATGACCTCAGCGTTTGCACTGCACGTTCGCAGGCGAGCACCGCCTGCGCATAGCGCCCCAGGATGTGCAGAACGTTACAAGTGTTCAGGCACGTCGAGGCGACCGCGGTGCGATAGGATAACATCTGCAAGTCGGACAGTGAGGCAGTCACACGCAGCGATAACAGGCTGAGCTGAAGGTGAAGGGTGTGGTAAAAATACTTGAGGGAGGCCTCCAACCGGCCGCGCTGTCGTTCTAGGCACCCCAGGTTGTTGAAGGTGGCGGCGCGCAGCCGGATTCGCTCATCGGCTTCGTCTTCCGTGAAAAGGTTTGGCGGCGATGCAAGGGTGCTGTCAGTTTGTCTGTATCTTATATCAGTGTTCCCCTTTCGTTGTCCTGGAGTCTCTTCGGGATTCATCCTCTTGGTCTTGTTCATAGCATTCACTGAGGTTTCTCCAGAAGATAAGGTGATGCTGCTGCTTTCCATTTCAGAGTCTGTTGATGGAAAAGACTCAGGATCAGCGCCAAATTCCTTCAGCGTGGCTTCGCGTAGCTCGGCCTCATTTTCAGATGTCAAGAAGAGCGCCTTCCGCAAGAAAAAAAATGCAGTTTCGTAACGGTAGCACTGGAACTCAGCCACAGCGTAACGATTACAGCGAAGAATAACAGCAGTGGCGTGCTTGCCGAGCGTCGTGAGTAGTCCATCCATCACCGCTTTCCTAGTGGAAGGGGTCGCAGTGAATCCCGCCTTCAGCGTTTCTTGGGCAATAGCTTGCTCGTGTGCCTTGCGAAGCATCAAGGCAGTCTCGTCGCTCTTTACACTTTCCGCGAGGTTTCCTTGTGCCTCGAACCTCTCCGCGGAACCCACAAGAAAGAGGATAGACTCCAGAATGCCAGATTCTTTTTCAGCACCTTGAGTCTTGGTACTCCGCGTACTATCATGCAGGATGCGACAGCTCACGCTTCCAGAAATTGAGATGCCGGGATCGGCGTGAGGTTGTAGGATTTGAGGCGGCTGCACAGACATTGATTTTTAGGTCGCTATAAAGGTATGGGTGGATTAAGTGCCAGTGCGCGCTGTAGCGTGCTATCGATTGTGTAGTATTCGCGTACGCTCCTTTCGTTTTAAACCTACAAGATAAAAACAGTAAAAAGATTATAAAAAGAAGAAGAAGAAAGGAAACGTGCGCAAATGCGATAAAACAAACATGACGCGATTCAATCCTCAATTATAGATCGCTTGTCCTTAGAGTAGCCAACACGGACAACAACTAAAACGGAAAAGATTCATACTGCAAGGGCAGCTGTCATTGAATGAATCCAATAGGATTGTGGCTGCATCGGTTGAAGTCCGGACTCTCCCTAATGATATCACCATCTACGGACTTAGACTATTTTATTTACGTAGAAGCGCCATTTCATCGTCACTGCTCTCATCATCCACGATATCTGTTGTCTTTCCTTCGACCAGTGTACCTATTCTCTCGCTTTTTGGATTTCGTATGAGACTTAGTATCTCCTCTTCGTCATCGACCTCATCTCTAATGCCATCGTGATCGGTTCCTAATGCTCTGCTGCTATGCGGGATATGACCATGTGCAGTGATGAGGCCCTCAAGATGCTGAACCGCCGCGGCTGTGTCGGTATCCTTTACCACCGCCTCGAATGTCTCCTCGTGTGAGGCGCTGACGACATCCCACAGGAACCAGTACTTGCCATGACCTACACCCAAGATGGCTGCTGCAGAGCACGCCTCGCGGTTCCCTTCTTTCTTACCTCCCGCTGGGGTGCCACGGTATGGCCGGCACTGCGCGTAGAGTGGCACGCCAGCGTCGAGGGTATGTGCGCAGAGCCCCGTATCCATATCCCATATCCGCAGTGTGTGATCCAGCGAGGTCGAAACCAGCGCGAGGGGAAGCAAGGAAGCGCCCCCGTGGTGGCCGTGGGGGTACGGGTTGGGGTAGAACGCTACGGAGCTCACAACGTCCTCATGACCGAGGAGGGCAAACGGGGTGGGGGTGGGAGCCATGACGCTGTCCCGGGCCGCCCCTGTCCC